ATCATTACAATGATAAGTCTGGAGTAAACTTATAAATTAAGCTATTGTTTCTATTGACCTCAAAAAATGTGTTAATAGAATCCCGACTTCATCTTCTTCATGTGGGCATCACCAGCACACTCAAACAACTCCATTAGAAGGCAAAGGCCACTGGTCGAAAAAATTATCCGGCAAACATTTGCACTCCAACAGTCGGACGAAATATAAATAATGCAAGAGACGGGTGAAGGGGTTTGGCTTCGTTTCGATTTCTAATACCTGGCTACTCTACATCAGATTTTGAGGTTCTTATCCTTCTTACGGGAATTCATATATCAGTTCAGAGGTATTGAAGGTTTGGAAGTTGGCTTCAATCCACTCCACCATCTCGATTTAGGCGTACCTTCGCAATACTTCGCGAAACTTTGGTACGCCTTGATGAGATGAAAGTTGGCTATGTAACACTTTTCAACCTCACTATCAGTAGATTCAGCCTGTTTCTTTGCCATCTCCACCTCCTTCGTTAAGCCCAACACTCTAGAGTTTAACTCCTCCACCTACTCATTTAGAGCTACATTCTCTTTATTAGATGCCTTCAGGGCTTCAACAGCTAGCCTTCAGTGAGAATCAGAAGTCTCCACCCGCTTCATCATGGAAGGCATTTCACTCTAACGCAAGTGGACTTCCTTTTTCAAGTTTTCAATTTCTGCTAAGGTAGAGGCGAGCTTCACAGACTCTTCAGCATGCTATTTCTTCACAGCCTCCACCTCAACTTCCGCCTTTGTAGCTACTTTTTCGGCCTTGGAGATCTTATTTGTGAATTCTTTATTTTTATTCTGAAGGTTTTTAAATAGGGTCTCCGGCTCTATAGCGGCCCCAAACGCCCCTCATAGATTGGCTTACCATTGTGGTGAAAATGTCCACCCAATCACTAGTCTCCATGAAGGACTACAAACGATCTATCCAATACTTGTGAAAAGTAGATATTACAGTTTGAAACTCTGGTGGTAACTTCGACAAAACCTCCGAGGCCAACACGTCTCCCCATTGTGAAATGACAAGTTAGGGCGAGGACTTGAATCAGTAGCAGAGGTCCCACTTGATGGCCTCTCCCTCTTCGAGGATTCTTGCTTTAGGTGCTCCACGATAATTGGCCTCTTTCGGGCCTTCTTGACCACAGCAATAGATGTTGTCATCAACTTCTCCCCAACAGGGGGGGACTTCGGAAGAGGCGGTGGGTTGGCCATAGGCCCACCATCTCCGGTAGCAGAAAATTTGTGCTTTTTTTGGTGACCTCCTTCATCTTATTCCTCCCCTTATCCTTAATGGGAGGTCTTTCATCACCGTCTTGACCAGCAGCCTCTTTGCTAATCTCTCCACGTGGTCCCTCACCTACTTGGTAGCAACAGATGAGGGCTTCAATTCCTTTCTCCCAATTGTGGTGGTAGTTGTAAGGATGGTAGCGATGTTAGGAATAGGATGTCTTTTCTTTTCAAAGTTTTCTCCAAAAAGTATAAGACACCTAGGTCAACAAAAATGAACAATGTCAAAACAATTACCATCCTAGAAAGACAAAAGTACCTCCAGGAGCCATGAAGTTGAATTCTTCAAAGAACCGTCGAAAAATAATTATCTCTCGAACTCCCCCAAAAAGCAGGACGTCGTTAGATATCCTCAATAATCTCGAGCTCAACTTTACCAAGCTCAAAACGATCTACAGATCCTGCAAAAGGTAAACACATACAAGGTCAAGATCCACATTAATTCAACTCATCAGCATAGCTTCTGAGTAGGAGGTGGGAACTATCATATTGGGGGATGGTGTCTCCCTCACATACTTGCCATTTTCCCATCAACCAGAACGTCTCCTTCCATCCTTTGATGGAGGAAAAAAGTCATATGACGAATGGGGAGTGTGACCCCCATGGACACAAAGAATACCAACCCTTGGAGTCTCCTTTCCCTAGAGACCTAGGCCGAAGAATAGTTTGAAAAACGTAGAGAGGTGTGTCTTCATCTAGGGAGGTCTCATTCCACAAAGAGTAGGATCCCACTAGTTGGGCCCACAAATTAGGAATGAACTAGGTGGGAGCAAGCCTGTACAGCCTAAGGACAGCTCTAAAGAATGGATGTAAAGGTGGTTGAAACCCTGTCTTAAGAATGAACTTTTTAATGACGACCCATCCAGGCCTCGAAAAATAGGCATGATCTTCTGGGGCAGGGCTAGGTGTTCTATGTCATGTGGGATGCAATATTTTTCCCTAAGAATCACTAGGGAGGACACAGAAAACTATGGATTGAATTTTGGTGGGCCCCAAGTCTCCTTGCCTAACCCACCCCTTTTATTGGCAAACAACTCTACCCAACCATAATTACCCGAATGAGGTTGGCAGCATTCATAATTTCAACCCCCAATTCGTAGGAAATTTTGCTAAAATCTATATTCCTCTTAGAAGATGATAAGGCCATTACTTCAATAACTACAACAATTTCGAGTACTTACAAAATTAGATAGAAAACACCTGCTAAAATTGATCGAAAATCGTAAGAGGAAAACTTGAGGTAAATTTGGAAAAAAATGAGAAGAACATGGAGGAAATTCTTTGAGAATCCAAATTCTAATTAATAATGAAGGCAAAAGTGATTTTTGTCCTAAACTGTTCTTTTATAGATAGAGGCGCTCAATCCCAACTGTTGGATGGTAATTCGGATCATCTGGTCATTCGTTGGAAATTAAATCCGAGCCACTCATCGCACCTACCATTTCGCCTTCAAAGGCCCAGATCATAGCTTCCGATTCATGCACTCTAACAAGTCTGAACCACAAAAGACGCGTCCATGACAACCATCATTAAGCATTAAATGCTACGACAATTACGTGTGTGAGAATTCGAACTGTTACAACCGCTTTTTTGGGAAGTGCAACAAACAACTAATCATATAAGCACAATTATTAAGAATGCCTTGTACTCACTAACATTGAACTGGTAAGATCTCTTCAGCTTTATTACCTGCAACTTCATCCAAATTGATGAAGCGTACCACCTCTTCTTCAACATTTATAACTTCGGTATGATCAAATTTATACAATAATAATCTCGGCCAAATGAACATTAGCCCTGTCCAGGTACCTCACTAAATGACTTTGGAAGTACTTTGACTATTCACCATATTCGACTTTCGAACTCTAATTTTCATTTAAATATTTGCAAATTAGATTTGGGGAACTATATATATTGTTGTGGGATTAAAAAACACCCCTACAAAAATTTTTCAACATAATACAAAAGTCCATGTATCACGTAAATGACTATACATAGAATTGGGGAATTGTTGTTACTCCACATATACGAAGCTTCCAATGAAAGCCACGTGGAGGTACTATGTCCAGACATATGGCAGTCACCAATTCAAAATAAAGAAACGACAAGACCTGCTCTATAGTTGAAGTGCTATCTCCAACCAGGGTTCATTTGTCGAAGCCCTTCCTCCTGAAAATCGAACCTCTTCACATCCAAAGCTCTTCTTCTTAAAACCAAGGTGCTTGCTTTCTTTAAGCAGGTTTGATAAGTATCTTTAGGAATTATTGATGTAACGCTTTTACTAATAAGTGTCAGAAAAATCAACCTAGGAATGTAAGGTGACTAACCTCTTGTCAATGTAATTAATGTATGACAGATTGATGTGAGATTTTGGCTAATTAGATGAAGCTACGTGGATTTGATCCAATGGTGACCACTTCGACCTGAATGCTATAAATAGCAACTCTTGTAATATTGTAGAGGATTGGAAAATATATGTACACACTCTATATGTTTATTATCACATTTTTTCTCTCTTGATATTAATTTGCTCGAGTTTGGATCGCATATACTTTGGTTTAAGTGTTAGTGATTGTGTTCGTTCACTCTCATCTTCGATCTTATCCTTAGTGCTCAAACAGTTACGCCACGTGTCCGAAGCATCTCCCATGTTCATAAACGTCGTCAACTTTATGACCAAATCTCCGCTTCAAATGTTTTTAAGTTTGCTCATGTGGACACGAGTAGAGCCCGACATCTGTTAGCACTTTTTCAGGTCAACAGTTTCCACATTGTGAGCACTCATATTATACATCTAATCTGTTAGCACTTTTTCGGGTCAGGTTTCCACATTGTCAGCGCTCATATTATACATCTAAGCGTTTGAAGTTTTTCATTTGCCTTTTATTTCAAAACTAGGACATAAGAATTGGAATTAAAAATTATTCCATTCAAAAGCTGAATTGATTATCCTACTAACCAGATCTCAAGGTCTCCACTCAGATAAATTTCATATGCAATCATTTAGGAATTTCAATAGAAATACTATATTTTAATTTATCTCAATTTGATCAGTAAAATTCGATTAACCCTCTTCAAGTAGCTAAACTTCAATTTTAGTTTCAAATATCAACACTTCGTTGCATGTCATATCCCAAATTGATGGATATTACTTAAATCCTCTTTGGCGTTAATTTTAAATTCGATAAAAATTTAAGTCAAAGTTAAAGTTAACATTTCAAGTGACCCACAACTTTTAATCATATTTTATCGACTTTTATCAAAATATACTAAAAACTATTTTTTAGTTATACCAAATAGGTGCTTAATTGCCAATCATATTGCGATGAATTTTCCACATACTCACTTTTATCATTTCAACTTATATATATATATATATATATACACACACACACACACACTGAGAAAATAAATAAATAAATAAAAAATAAATAAAACTTTCACCTCTTTCCTCCATGAACTGCTACTAACCATCATCTCATCATCCTAAATTTTTAAAACTATCAAATTTTATTCAAGCCAAAATGTTCTTTTTGTCACAAAAGCCATCAAAATCCAAGTCAATTAACTAAGAGCTTGTTTGAGTCCCATTTTTATTCAAGAATGCATTTTGGAATGGAAGATTGATGGAGAATGTGTAGTTAAAAAATGAAAAAAGTTTTGGGTTTGGGTGCAATATTATTTTATTGAAGAAAATGTGGTTGAGAAGAAGAGAGACAAAAATGTATTTTGGAAATTATGGGGATCAAACAAGGGCTAAATCTGAAAATATCAAGTGGAAGCACGAAAGAGTGATTCAAGAGAATCACACCCCAACAAATCCACAAGGGCTTTTTTTGGGGTCATTTCAAATTTATGGGGATCTAATTCACAACATTATTTAGAGAAGGGTGGGACCATTCATTATGTGTTTAGAGGATGGCATGTGCAGGGATGGTGGTCAAGTGGTCTCCACTGGCGGACAGGAATAGGGTGGTGAGGAACTGTGAAGGTGAGCAGGGGGTGGAAGAGAAAACAGGGGACGCCTGAGGACATTTATGGAGTTGGTCAACTTGGTCTTATTTATAGGTTATCCAAATTCCCAGAAAAGGTATTCCTTAACTTAAATGTAGTTAATGAGTTTCCATGATTTTTCACAAACAATATTATAGGGGATGCATTTTCCTTATTAGTAAAAATAGAATGGGAATACCTGACCTTTCCATAATAGATAATTCTGCAAACCAAACGGGTGTGGTATACAACTTTACCTTCATCAATTTGATTTTCTGGTTCCTTTGACTTCATGTGAAGTGCGCTCAACTCTTCTTGTTTGTGGTGAATATAATCATAATTTTATTTTTTGGTTTCAGACATAATGTATTCCAACTTCCCTGCAGGAATTACCGTTGTCCGTGCTGCTCCTGCAAAACACATATGCTTGAAGGTGGTTGAGAATAATTACTGTGCTTCTAGAAGAGGTACTAGATGTTATTTTGACCCTACCTTTCTTATGTTACTGGATTTTCTAGAATGAATATTGCAGTCTATGTTTTTGTGCATCACAGTTGCGGGGCATGTTTCTTTTGGTGGATTTTAATTTATTTAAAGCAGCAGAGGCCATTGCACTCTAGATTTCGAAGGTTAAAATTGCTGAACTCTAATCAAATTATGCTCTCCATATTCAATCGGGCTATATGTTTTACTTAATGTGAGGATCGTGGCATTGTACTTTTGAAATTTAAGGGGTGAAAGTTGTGGTATATCTGTTTGTTTCTTGCATCGTTGAGCACGCGAAGTTCGTGGGTTAAAGTATTGTAACCCAGATTGTAGGTTGCATCATATTGAAATTCAACCACATAGTCCACTGTAGTTGTCCAATTGTTCTTGTCTACTTTGAGTAGCACCTGTACTCAAGGATAACATGTTAAGGTGGTTATACTGGCTGTGCTAACAGTCATGGATTCCAAACTCAAAATCATTAACTTTTACAAAGCACGTCAACACTAAATATAATTTAGAAGATAACTAAAGCTGTCAATTATTTGGTTAGAAAAACATTAGGCTTACAGAAGGGTTAAGAGGCTTCAAGAATATCAATTGTTTTATTCTATTGTTTTGTAGTTGTGTAATGTCTTCTTCTTGCGATTCATCATTTCAGCATGAGTTCTCATCTGGAGTTTTTGCAAAAACTTCTATCATCTACAGGAGGTGTACGCTGTCTATCCATCCTAAATGCCACGTTTGCCATCATTTTTGGTCTTCTTGCACTAATTTTTGGCTCAACTCTCCTCACGCTTGGTAGCAGCTGCTCATTGCCGTTGTTCTGGTGCTATGAAATCGCATCATGGGGGCTGGTAGTTCTATACGGAGGAACCGCCTTCTTGCTAAGAAGAAAAACAGCTGTATTTCCTGACGAGAATGACTTTGCAGGAAGGAATATTGGGTTGGAAATGCTCGAAATAAATCCAGTGGAAGTCACGCCACAGGTGGAGAGACGTGTTAAGGAAGGTTTTAAGTCATGGATGGGGCCATCTTTCCTATCCTCAGACGAGGAGGCTGAATCGGATGACTATCAGGAAATGCCAAATCTAACCAATACAATCTCCAGCAAGCAGTGTGTGTGAAAGTGACAGATTCTGAAAAATCTATCGAAGTTCATTGCCAGCGAAGAGCTATTCCACAACTTATGGTCTCATACGAGAAAAGCAATGCTGCTTTTACGACGGATTTGGTGTCGGTTAGTGTTGATTGATACGTTTTATCGAACCAAATACCAATTCTAATGCTATAGCAAGAGTGTTTATACTGATTGCTGCTGCGTTAGTGTTTTTACATAATAGTCACACACTGTATAAAATTCGATTCGACCAATTTTTGTATACCTTTTTTGGAGCTTTCGATTATTTGTACTTGATGATCTTGTTAATAACTGCTGCACATTATAGCAAACACACGACTTTGAAAAATCGCACGTTGAGTCCCTTTATTCATGGGTGAAGTAACTAGAGCCATTAATAACTCGGATAATAAAACTTCTACCGAATATGATCGAATAATCAAAATCAAACACAAACATATTTGATTTGATTACAATAACTTTTCTAATTTAAAATGAATGTAATCAACAACTTATTAAATATATTATCATGTAAAATTATCTTACATTTTATTTATAAATTTCTCTAAAGTTGTGGCTGCATTTAAATTTATAAGCACTTACCTTGAAAGATTTAAAGAATTTATTTTTGAACTTCATATTTATTCCGGTGGATCAATTAATTCAGATATTTCACAACTTCGAGAAAATTTATAATTATTCAATGATGAAAAGTACTAATAAAAGTATATCGAAAGTGCATGATACTTGCCACGACGACTATAGACCAATGTATTAATCAACTTTCGAATTTCATAAAAATAATCTCCAAATTCAAATTTGATACGTATAATTTCAACATTTGAATCTCCAAACTTTCAATTTTGTAGTGCTTGAGTAACTATTCTCGTTCAGTTTATAATAAGAACTGACTAGTTCACTTGAATTTATTTATTTCTTTTGTTTTCTAAATATTCTTTTATCGTGAATTTGACCTCGACTCAGTTTCAAGTCAACATTTTTAATCTCGACCTGCTATCTTCTTTAAGTGAATGCCCGACCGGGTTTTCAAACCTATCTATTTTTAATCAAATCCACGAGCTTCACAAGCACAAGTGACAAGACAGATTATTGAACTGTGGTAAATAGTTCATTTAGCCAAAAATTGAAAAATTATTTAAAAATGTAGCACGCGAACAACGCGAGCAACGGTTCACAGCAAAAAAACAAGCCCACGTCTATTACCCGTCCTCTTCAACTCTATTATATATACAAGAGTTTATACAGAACCGTGACTGGACAATATTCTCCCGTTTGCAACCAGGTATCCACCATGACTAGAGGCAATCCAGGAGTAATTACATGCAAAGCTGCAGTGGTATGGAAATCAGGAGACCCTTTGAAAATAGAGGAAATACAAGTGGATCCTCCCAAATCCTCTGAAGTTAGGATCAAAATGCTTTGTGCAAGTTTGTGTCACACTGATTTTCTGTGTCGCAATGGACTCCCTGTTGTAAGGAATTCAGTTTTTAGTTGTTGGGTTTTTGAAATTTTTGATTTACAGTCTACTGAAATTGCTGAATTTGAGTGATTTGATCTTGTTCTTTGGACTGGTTTTGCAGCCTTTGTTTCCTCGGATTCCTGGACATGAAGGAGTTGGGTAAGTCTCTCTCTCTCTCTCTCTCTCTACCTTTGATGCTTTATGGACAGAACAGTAGCATGTTTGATACTGGGATTCAACTGACAAATTTTATACGACCCTTGTTCATAGAGCATGTTTAAGCTTATGAATTACTTATTCTGAAATTTTATTTCAAAAATTTATTTTGCGTTTAGTTTGCATTCGTGTTTTCTATTTTCAGTTTTGAAATCATTTTCTTTTTTATGTTTTGAGGGATTATTTTAAAGTTGCATAAAAAGCTTTTGGTTAGTCATTCTGAAAAACTATTTTTCAAAACAAAAAAACTAGAAAACATATTTAGTTTAAAAATTTTAGAAATAGTTTTATGACATTTTGAAGGAGTATGGGAGGGGGGATATGTAGTTGGGTAAGTTTTGTGTGATTATATTAATTATTTTAATTTGAGAAATTTTTTAGTTCATTCTCCTTTTTTTTAGTTTTTTGAGTGTTTTTATTGAAAACACTAAAAATGTCAAAAAATCATTTTATGTTGTAAAATTTCCTTGTTTTAAAAAACACATTTTTGAAAATAAAATACTAAACACGTTTTGAGTATTTCAAAAAACTGAAAATGGCTCAAAATAACGAACCAATCGCATTCTTACTTGTTCAGGGTATGTCTTTACTTTGTATTCATGTTGAATCCGGAGTATAAACGTACCCTAAATGGAGAATTCTGCATCCTTAAAATCAAATTACATGCTCGAAAACATGTATATACAGAATTCAAAACAAATAATAAATTTGCATTTGTTATAAGAATTTGAGCTCATGTGACCTTTCCAGGTCCGTGCTCAAGTAGACATTTATTTTGGTTTCAAATGAGACATTAATGAAGATTTTATCCATAAAACACTTTTCATCTAAACCAAAATCGAGAATTTTATTCTGCTAAACGATGTTATTTCTGAACTAAGCTTAAACATAATGATCATATGATACTTTTATAAAAATTTCAAATACAGCATGATAGAAAGTGTGGGAGAAGGAATCACAAATCTGAAGGAAGGAGATGTAGTGATGCCACTCTATCTGGGAGAATGTGGGGAATGTCTGAATTGCAAATCCGGGAAGACAAATTTATGCCACAAATATCCCTTAAATTTCACTGGCCTAATGCCAGATGGCACATCAAGAATGCACATTGGAGATCAGATAATATATCACCATTTTAGCTGTGGTACATGGTCTGAATATGTCGTTATCGACGCGAATTTTGCAGTCAAGGTTGATCCCCGTGTTTCTCTTGCACATGCAAGTTTCCTTTGCTGTGGTTTCACCACAGGTTTTGGATCTGCCTGGAGGGAAGTCACTATTGAAAAGGGCTCAACTGTTGCTGTTATTGGTGTTGGTGCTGTTGGACTTGGAGTAAGTACATGTATTTACTCGTGGCATGTTTCATATTAGACAAGATTGAACAGTATTAGAAAAGAAAAAAAGGTTAAAATCCAGTTCGTCGTAGTGTAGACTATTCACTATAGTGTAGAAAACATGCCCTTGCAATAATGATAGCAATACACACCTGCTGCCCACTGCAGTAGTGATAGACTCGTTGCATGTTTGGTATACTGGACGGTACTATATTGGATCTTCTCCATTGCACTATTCAATGTTGTCCAAATCCGTGTAGGTGGTGTGTTTGGTATACTAGACTACACAAGACTATACCGTGTACAAATCATGCCCTTACGGTAGTGCTAGCTGTACGCATCTTCATTGACCATGATGACATCCATACATATCAAAATTTTATTAGCAATGAACCTTAATGGCAACTAACGCAGGTGATAGAGGCAGCACGAATGAATGGAGCTTCTAGGATAATTGGGATCGACATAAACAACTTAAAGAAGAAGAAAGGAGAAGTCTTTGGAATGACTGAATTTATCAATCCAAAAGAATCTGATAAACCTGTATCAGAATTGATCAAAGAGACTACAGGTGGACTGGGAGTGGATTACTGTTATGAGTGCACTGGAGTTCCAGAGCTGCTAAATGAAGCAATTGAGGGATCCAAAGTGGTAAAATTCCTCAAATTTTCCTGTTAATTTCAATATCAGTAATGGCTTTTCCTATTGATCATAATATAAGACTAATTTCTTTTTAATTGTGTCATTTAAACAGGGACTTGGGACAATAGTTTTCATTGGTGCAGGACTTCATTTAAGTGGGGAGCTCAAATACATTCCCCTCTTGTGTGGTAGGACAATTAAGGGGTCCATTTATGGTGGAGTAAGACCTCAAACAGACCTCCCTAAAATAGTTGAGAAATGCATAAATAAGGTATGAATCCTTTTCGAGTTTCACGATTAAATCTAGAAGCTTTATTGATTGAATCACCACGTTTAAAAATTTAAGTTGTTGAAAAAAGAAAACACACCTTCGTCACTTCCCTAAAATAATTGATTATGCCTTCTTGTACATGGACTGAAAAGAAAAAAATGTTGTTTGAACAGGAAATTCAACTGGATGAACTGTTGACCCATGAAGTTTCACTCGAAGAAATTAACAAGGCATGGGAATATCTGAAGCATCCTAGCTGTGTTAAAGTTGTTATCAAATATAACAACGAATGATCTTCTCTTGTATTGATATAATGTTATCATCAAGCAGTACTCGTGTGTGCTTGTTTATCAAGGGGTCCTCAAAAACTACGTTATCCTTTAGAATTAATAAAGAATGGAGAAAATTAATGAGAGAAAAATCAGTATTATTGATTTCATATGTATACCTACATGCAAAATAGTTGTCTAGAAATATGGTCATTTTTAAGGATTAATGGTCTAATTCAGTTAGCCGAGAGCAATTATCACAAAACACAAAACGAAAGCAAGTAAAGAAAGTGAGAATAACGTCCACTTGAAGCTACAAGATTTCACTAATGTTGCATTTGAAATTCAAACCATTGTTTTCTCTATGTAAAAAAGGTTTACCTCAGTGGTCTTCATATGGGGGAGAAAATATTAGGACGACCAACTTAATACATGTACAAAATTTCCAGCATTCCTCCATAAGTTTAATTAGGCTCTACATGTCCAATAATAAGAGAAAATTAAGTGCCGAAAATGAATGCAAGAAATATGGTGTACATAAAAATGATGCCAAAATTTTTAGGTGCGAGAATTTCAAGAATCAAGCCTGAATCTTAACATCCTTTAAAACTCACGACAGAGTAGTAGGATCGGGGACAATATGGAGGTCGGAAACAAGATCGCAAAAACGTTCAAGATAATGTTCTTTAACGAAAATATCGGTCTAATCAATTAATAAAATAAAAACTATCCAAAATAGCAAGAGCCAAGATAAAGCAAGCAAAATGTTGCTCCAAGAACTCTGATCTCATAACTATTCAAGAGCTAAATACACCTCAATTGATCGACATAATAGACAAGCCCAAAATCATTTAAAATGATCGTTGTAGTGAAAATTACATTGTGAAACCAAAGATTTAACCATGATAATACTTCAGCAAAACAATACCTATAGATAATTCATATAATAACTCCACACACTTTGACAAAATTTAAACGACAGAATAAATTAATTCACTCTCTAATCAAAGGAGACATGTGTAGACTCTCAGATTTTAGAGCATTACAATGGAATAAACCAATTCATACACTAATCTAAGGAGACATATGTATAGACTCTCAGATTTTACAGCACAATGCCTCGGCTATGAGCGCCTTTTACCTGAAACTCTTTAGATGGGGGAAGGGACTTGAGCAACCAATGCTGCTAGACAACTTTTCAGCTTTCTTCACCGGTGTCCCACACTCATTAAAATCAAGGGTGCGCCCCTGCGAAGGTTTTGTCCAGATAAGTTTTTGATAGCATATAGCTGTGTGGACAGGAGGAGGAGGATCTATTGCTATACGGGAAAAGATAGTGCACATTGCAACAAGTTCATTGAAGATAAAATATGCAGTTCTCTCAAGTGTAAATCTAATGACATTTTTAGAATGGTTTTATCATAAGAAGTCGTACACGAAGTTCAAGTATTTCAACAAGAAAATTCTTCTTATTTTCGGCTTGAAGTTCATAAAATGCATACAGTGATATATTATTACATCTAGACAAATGATTTTACAAGGCCAGATCGGTAAAATGAGCATGTTAGTAGCATTAAAAAAAGGTTCCTAAAAAAGTAGTTGCACACAATAAAAAATACTCACGGTTTTTACTGAATCATTGCCTCCAGCCATATTTTTGATATCCATTATTGCACTCTGTTGTTTTATCTTCATAAACTCACTGCTGTTTAATTCTTTCTGTAGCATTCTGCTTCCCGAAATTACAAAGCTTTTGTTGCCCTCCTCTCTCCCCTCTTCAAAATCAGGAATCACATTTTCTTTATCTACCCAAGTAGATTCAGAGTTTCTTCTGTCATTTGGAGATGATGACAGCATAAGTACTTTCTGGTCTACACATTCATCACACACGGCCTCTAATCCAGAACATTCAATGGACAGGTTGGATAGTGAGTCCTGCCTCAAGTCACTTTCAAGCTGTTTCAGACTTCTGTTTTCTGACAGAGGAGACACCAGATCGCGGCGTCTTTTTTTCAGTATAGATGGTGCGTCTGTAAAAGTTTTGGCAATACTTTTCTGAACAGCATCTGAACTATCTTCCCTAGATGGTGAGTCCCACCATTTGAATGAATTCAAGGAAGATATCATCAGTTGGCGAATGCCAAGTGGACTGTACCCTTGTTGCATATCACTGCCAGGTTGAACAAGATCACAACTGAAAAATGGAATATCCAAGCTTGGAAAGCATGGGGAGTCATAGAATAAAGCTCCACAATCATTTTGTTCATCCGTTAAAACTGGATCTTTGTCCCTGGAAAAACAGCTTTGAGCATAATTTGAGGCTAAGGCAAAACCATTAATTGGAACTAGCTTCTGTGAACAGTTTGCCTGCTCAGATCCATATTCACAGCAAAAACAACCATCTTCAAGAACAGACTTCTGCTTCGCATTTCCATCCAAGGAATCATTCAACTGATAAGTATCAATACCGTACATGACTAAACCGTCTTCAGGAGGAAGTTCACTTGGAACGGGGAAAAGTTCACTAAATGAGCTTCCCAGCATGTCAGAAATCATAGAACAGCAAGACTGTGAAGCAAAAGGACCATTGTCAGGGATTGCAGAAATTAGAACTTGATCTTTGTCCCTGGAAGAACAGTTTTGAGTATCATTTGATGCTAAGACAAAATCATTAACTGAAAATAGCTTCGGTGAACAGTTTGCCTGCTCAGATCCACGTTCACAAGAAAAACAACCAAATTCAGGAACAGACTCCTGCTCTGGATTTCCATGCAAGGAATCACTCAACCAATAAGGATCAATACCGTACATACCTAAACCATCTTCAGGAGGAAGTTCACTTGGAAAGGGGAAAGATTTACTAAATGAGCTTCCCAGCATGTCAGAACTCATAGAACAGCAATAATGTGAAGCAAAAGTTCCATCTTCAGGGATTGTGAAAGTTAGAACTGGATCTTTGTCCCTGGGTAAACAGCTTTGAATATCACTTGATGCTAAGACAAAATCATTAACTGGAACTAGCTTCAATGAACAGTTTGCCTGCTTAGATCCATGTTCATAAAAAAAATCACCATCATCAGGAACAGACTCCTGCTCCACATTACCAAGCAAGGAATCATTCAACTGATAAGGATCAATACCGTACACAGCTAAACCATCTTGAGGAACTATCAAATTTTATTCAAGCCAAAATGTTCTTTTTGTCACAAAAGCCATCAAAATCCAAGTCAATTAACTAAGAGCTTGTTTGAGTCCCATTTTTATTCAAGAATGCATTTTGGAATGGAAGATTGATGGAGAATGTGTAGTTAAAAAATGAAAAAAGTTTTGGGTTTGGGTGCAATATTATTTTATTGAAGAAAATGTGGTTGAGAAGAAGAGAGACAAAAATGTATTTTGGAAATTATGGGGATCAAACAAGGGCTAAATCTGAAAATATCAAGTGGAAGCACGAAAGAGTGATTCAAGAGAATCACACCCCAACAAATCCACAAGGGCTTTTTTTGGGGTCATTTCAAATTTATGGGGATCTAATTCACAACATTATTTAGAGAAGGGTGGGACCATTCATTATGTGTTTAGAGGATGGCATGTGCAGGGATGGTGGTCAAGTGGTCTCCACTGGCGGACAGGAATAGGGTGGTGAGGAACTGTGAAGGTGAGCAGGGGGTGGAAGAGAAAACAGGGGACGCCTGAGGACATTTATGGAGTTGGTCAACTTGGTCTTATTTATAGGTTATCCAAATTCCCAGAAAAGGTATTCCTTAGCTTAAATGTAGTTAATGAGTTTCCATGATTTTTCACAAACAATATTATAGGGGATGCATTTTCCTTATTAGTAAAAATAGAATGGGAATACCTGACCTTTCCATAATAGATAATTCTGCAAACCAAACGGGTGTGGTATACAACTTTACCTTCATCAATTTGATTTTCTGGTTCCTTTGACTTCATGTGAAGTGCGCTCAACTCTTCTTGTTTGTGGTGAATATAATCATAATTTTATTTTTTGGTTTCAGACATAATGTATTCCAACTTCCCTGCAGGAATTACCGTTGTCCGTGCTGCTCCTGCAAAACACATATGCTTGAAGGTGGTTGAGAATAATTACTGTGCTTCTAGAAGAGGTACTAGATGTTATTTTGACCCTACCTTTCTTATGTTACTGGATTTTCTAGAATGAATATTGCAGTCTATGTTTTTGTGCATCACAGTTGCGGGGCATGTTTCTTTTGGTGGATTTTAATTTATTTAAAGCAGCAGAGGCCATTGCACTCTAGATTTCGAAGGTTAAAATTGCTGAACTCTAATCAAATTATGCTCTCCATATTCAATCGGGCTATATGTTTTACTTAATGTGAGGATCGTGGCATTGTACTTTTGAAATTTAAGGGGTGAAAGTTGTGGTATATCTGTTTGTTTCTTGCATCGTTGAGCACGCGAAGTTCGTGGGTTAAAGTATTGTAACCCAGATTGTAGGTTGCATCATATTGAAATTCAACCACATAGTCCACTGTAGTTGTCCAATTGTTCTTGTCTACTTTGAGTAGCACCTGTACTCAAGGATAACATGTTAAGGTGGTTATACTGGCTGTGCTAACAGTCATGGATTCCAAACTCAAAATCATTAACTTTTACAAAGCACGTCAACACTAAATATAATTTAGAAGATAACTAAAGCTGTCAATTATTTGGTTAGAAAAACATTAGGCTTACAGAAGGGTTAAGAGGCTTCAAGAATATCAATTGTTATATTCTATTGTTTTGTAGTTGTGTAATGTCTTCTTCTTGCGATTCATCATTTCAGCATGAGTTCTCATCTGGAGTTTTTGCAAAAACTTCTATCATCTACAGGAGGTGTACGCTGTCTATCCATCCTAAATGCCACGTTTGCCATCATTTTTGGTCTTCTTGCACTAATTCTTGGTTCAACTCTCCTCACGCTTGGTAGCAGCTGCTCATTGCCGTTGTTCTGGTGCTATGAAATCGCATCATGGGGGCTGGTAGTTCTATACGGAGGAACCGCCTTCTTGCTAAGAAGAAAAACAGCTGTATTTCCTGACGAGAATGACTTTGCAGGAAGGAATATTGGGTTGGAAATGCTCGAAATAAATCCAGTGGAAGTCACACCACAGGTGGAGAGACGTGTTAACGAAGGTTTTAAGTCATGGATGGGTCCATCTTTCCTATCCTCAGACGAGGAGGATGAATCGGATGACTATCAGGAAATGCCAAATCTAACCAATACAATCTCCAGCAAGCAGTGTGTGTGAAAGTGACAGATTCTGAAAAATCTATCGAAGTTCATTGCTAGCGAAGAGCTATTCCACAACTTATGGTCTCATACGAGAAAAGCAATGCTGCTTTTACGACGGATTTGGTGTCGGTTAGTGTTGATTGATACGTTTTATCGAACCAAATACCAATTCTAATGCTATAGCAAGAGTGTTTATACTGATTGCTGCTGCATTAGTGTTTTTACTTAATAGTCACACACTGTATAAAATTCGATTCGAACAATTTTTGTATACCTTTTTTGGAGCTTTCGATTATTTGTACTTGATGATCTTGTTAATAACTACTGCACATTATAGCAAACACGACTTTGAAAAATCGCACGTTAAGTCTCTTTATTCATGGGTGAAGTAACTAGAGCCATTAATAACTCGGATAATAAAACCTCTACCGAATATGATCGAATAATCAAAATCAAACACAAACATATTTGATTTGATTACAATAACTTTTCTAATTTAAAATGAATGTAATCAACAACTTATTAAATATATTATCATGTAAAATTATCTTACATTTTATTTATAAATTTCTCTAAAGTTGTGGCTGCATTTAAATTTATAAGCACTTACCTTGAAAGATTTAAAGAATTTATTTTTGAACTTCATATTTATTCCGGTGGATCAATTAATTCAGATATTTCACAACTTCGAGAAAATTTATAATTATTCAATGATGAAAAGTACTAATAAAAGTATATCGAAAGTGCACGATACTTGCCATGACGACTATAGACCAATGTATTAATCAACTTTCGAATTTCATAAAAATAATCTCCAAATTCAAATTTGATACGTATAATTTCAACATTTGAATCTCCAAACTTTCAATTTTGTAGTGATTGAGTAACTATTCTCGTTCAGTTTATAATAAGAACTGACTAGTTCACTTCAATTTATTTATTTCTTTTGTTTTCTAAATATTCTTTTATCATGAATTCGACCTCGACTCAGTTTCAAGTCAACATTTTTAATCTCGACCCGCTATCTTCTTTAAGTGAAAACCGACCGGGTTTTCAAACCTATCTATTTTTAATCAAATCCACGAGCTTCACAAGCACAAGTGACAAGACAGATTATTGACCTGTGGTAAATAGTTCATTTAGCCAAAAATTGAAAAATTATTTAAAAATGTAGCACGCGAACAACGCGAGCAACGGTTCACAGCAAAAAAACAAGCCCACGTCTATTACCCGTCCCCGTCAACTCTATTATATATACATGAGTTTATACAGAACCGTGACTGGACAATATTCTCCCATTTGCAACCAGGTATCCACCATGACTAGAGGCAATCCAGGAGTAATTACATGCAAAGCTGCAGTGGTATGGAAATCAGGAGACCCATTGAAAATAGAGGAAATACAAGTGGATCCTCCCAAATCCTCTGAAGTTAGGATCAAAATGCTTTGTGCAAGTTTGTGTCACACTGATTTTCTGTGTCGCAATGGACTCCCTGTTGTAAGGAATTCAGTTTTTAGTTGTTGGGTTTTTGAAATTTTTGATTTACAGTCTACTGAAATTGCTGAATTTGAGTGATTTGATTTTGTTCTTTGGACTGTTTTTGCAGCCTTTGTTTCCTCGGATTCCTGGACATGAAGGAGTTGGGTAAATCTCTCTCTCTCTCTTTCTACCTTTGATGCTTTATGGATAGAGCAGTAGCATGTTTGATACTGGGATTCAACTGACAAATTTTATACGACCCTTGTTCATAAAGCATGTTTTAAGCTTTTGAGTTACTTATTCTGAAATTTTATTTCAAAAACTTGTGGTGCGTTTAGTTTGCATTCCTGTTTTCTATTTTCAGTTTTGAAATCATTTTCTGTTTTATACTTTGAGGGATTATTTTAAGGTTGCAGAAAAAGCGTTTGGTTCGTCATTCTGAAAAACTGTTTTTCAAAGAAAAAAAAAAAAAAACTAGAAAACATATTTAGTTTAAAAATTTTAGAAATAGTTTTATGACATTTTGAAGGAGTATGGGAGGGAGGATATGTAGTTGGGTAAATTTTGTGTGATTTTATTAATTATTTTAATTTGGAAAATTTTTTAGTTCATTCGCCTTGTTTTGAGTTTTTTGAGTGTTTTTATTGAAAACACTCAAAATGTCAAAAAGTCATTTCGAGTTTTATGTTGTAAATTTTCCTTGTTTTAAAAAACGCATTTTTGAAAATAAAATACCAAACACGTTTTGAGTATTTTATAAAACTGAAAATGGCCTCAAAATAACGAACCAATCGCATTCTTACTTGTTCAAGGTATGTCTTTACTTTGTATTCATGTTGAATCCGGAGTATAAACGTACCCTAAATGGAGAATTCTGCATCCTTAAAATCAAAGTACATGCTCGAAAACATGTATATACAGAATTCAAAACAAATAATAAATTTGCCTTTGTTATAAGAATTTGAGCTCATGTGACCTTTCCAGGTCCGTGCTCAAGTAGACATTTATTTTGGTTTCAAATGAGACATTAATGAAGATTTTATCCATAAAACACTTTTCATCTAAACCAAAATCGAGAATTTTATTCTGCTAAACGATGTTATTTCTGAACTAAGCTTAAACATAATGATCATATGATACTTTCATAAAAATTTCAAATACAGCATGATAGAAAGTGTGGGAGAAGGAATCACAAATCTGAAGGAAGGAGATGTAGTGATGCCACTCTATCTGGGAGAATGTGGGGAATGTCTGAATTGCAAATCCGGGAAGACAAATTTATGCCACAAATATCCCTTAAATTTCACTGGCCTAATGCCAGATGGCACATCAAGAATGCACATTGGAGATCAGATAATATATCACCATTTTAGCTGTGGTACATGGTCTGAATATGTCGTTATCGACGCGAATTTTGCAGTCAAGGTTGATCCCCGTGTTTCTCTTGCACATGCAAGTTTCCTTTGCTGTGGTTTCACCACAGGTTTTGGATCTGCCTGGAGGGAAGTCACTATTGAAAAGGGCTCAACTGTTGCTGTTATTGGTGTTGGTGCTGTTGGACTTGGAGTAAGTACATGTATTTACTCGTGGCATGTTTCATATATTGGAGTAGACAAGATTGAACAGTATTAGGAAAGAAAAAAAATGTTAAAATCCAGTTCGCCGCACTGTAGACTATTCACTATAGTGTAGAAAACATACCCTTGCAATAATGATAGCAATACACACCCACTGCAGTAGTGATAGACTCGTTGCATGTTTGGTATACTGGATGGTACTATATTGGATCTTCTCCATTGCACTATTCAATGTTATCCAAATCCGTGTATAATACATGTCCTTAGCTAGTGATAGCATTATACATTTGTGGTGTGTTTGGTATACTAGACTACACAAGACTATACCGTGTACAAATATGCCCTTACGGTAGTGCTAGCTGTACGCATCTTCATTGACCATGATGACATCCATACATATCAAAATTTTATTAGCAATGAACCTTAATGGCAACTAACGCAGGTGATAGAGGCAGCGCGAATGAATGGAGCTTCTAGGATAATTGGGATCGACGTAAACAACTTAAAGAAGAAGAAAGGAGAAGTCTTTGGAATGACTGAATTTATCAATCCAAAAGAATCTGATAAACCTGTATCAGAATTGATCAAAGAGACTACAGGTGGACTGGGGGTAGATTACTGTTATGAGTGCACTGGAGTTCCAGAGCTGCTAAATGAAGCAATTGAGGGATCCAAAGTGGTAAAATTCCTCAAATTTTCCTGTTAATTTCAGTATCAGTAATGGCTTTTCCTATTGATCATAACATAAGACTAATTTCTTTTTAATTGTGTCATTTAAACAGGGACTTGGGACAATAGTTTTCATTGGTGCAGGACTTCATTTAAGTGGGGAGCTCAAATACATTCCCCTCTTGTGTGGTAGGACAATTAAGGGGTCCATTTATGGTGGAGTAAGACCTCAAACAGACCTCCCTAAAATAGTTGAGAAATGCATAAATAAGGTATGAATCCTTTTCGAGTTTCACGATTAAATCTAGAAGCTTTATTGATTGAATCACCACGTTTAAAAATTTAAGTTGTTGAAAAAAGAAAACACACCTTCGTCACTTCCCTAAAATAATTGATTATGCCTTCTTGTACATGGACTGAAAAGAAAAAAATGTTGTTTGAACAGGAAATTCAACTGGATGAACTGTTGACCCATGAAGTTTCACTCGAAGAAATTAACAAGGCATGGGAATATCTGAAGCATCCTAGCTGTGTTAAAGTTGTTATCAAATATAACAACGAATGATCTTCTCTTGTATTGATATAATGTTATCATCAAGCAGTACTCGTGTGTGCTTGTTTATCAAGGGGTCCTCAAAAACTACGTTATCCTTTAGAATTAATAAAGAATGGAGAAAATTAATGAGAGAAAAATCAGTATTATTGATTTCATATGTATACCTACATGCAAAATAGTTGTTTAGAAATATGGTAATTTTCAAGGATTAATGGCCTAATTCAGTTAGCCGAGAGCAATTATCACAAAACACAAAACGAAAGCAAGTAAAGAAAGTGAGAATAACGTCCACTTGAAGCTACAAGATTTCACTAATGTTGCATTTGAAATTCAAACCATTGTTTTCTCTATGTAAAAAAGGTTTACCCCAGTGGTCTTCATATGGGGGAGAAAATATTAGGACGACCAACTTAATACATGTACAAAATTTCCAGCATTCCTCCATAAGTTTAATTAGGCTCTACATGTCCAATAATAAGAGAACATTAAGTGCCGAAAATGAATGCAAGAAATATGGTGTACATAAAAATGATGCCAAAATTTTTAGGTGCGAGAATTTCAAGAATCATGCCTGAATCTTAACATCCTCTAAAACTCATGACAGAGTAGTAGGATCGGGGACAATATGGAGTTCGGAAACAAGATCGCAAAAACGTTCCAAGATAATGTTCTTTAACGAAAATATCAGTCTAATCAATTAATGAAACAAAAACTATCCAAAATTGTAAGAGCCAAGATAAAACAAGCAAAATGTTGCTCCAAGAACTCTGATCTCATAACTATTCAAGAGCTAAATACACCTCAATTGATCGACATAATAGACAAGCCCAAAATATATTGCAAAGACACCATTTAAAATGATCGTTGTAGTGAAAATTACATTGTGAAACCAAAGATTTAACCATGATAATACTTCAGCAAAACAATACCTATAGCTAATTCATATAATAACTCTACACACTTTGACAAAATTTAAACGACAGAATAAATTAATTCACTCTCTAATCAAAGGAGACATGTGTAGACTCTCAGATTTTAGAGCATTACAATGGAATAAACCAATTCATACACTAATCTAAGGAGACATATGTATAGACTCTCAGATTTTACAGCACAATGCCTCGGCTATGAGCGCCTTTTACCTGAAACTCTTTAGATGGGGGAAGGGACTTGAGCAACCAATGCTGCTAGACAACTTTTCAGCTTTCTTCACCGGTGTCCCACACTCATTAAAATCAAGGGTGCGCCCCTGCGAAGGTTTTGTCCAGATAAGTTTTTGATAGCATATAGCTGTGTGGACAGGAGGAGGAGGATCTATTGCTATACGGGAAAAGATAGTGCACATTGCAACAAGTTCATTGAAGATAAAATATGCAGTTCTCTCAAGTGTAAATCTAATGACACTTTTAGAATGGTTTTATCATAAGAAGTCGAACACGAAGTTCAAGTATTTCAACAAGAAAATTCTTCTTATTTTCGGCTTGAAGTTCATAAAATGCATACAGTGATATATTATTACATCTAGACAAATGATTTTACAAGGCCAGATCGGTAAAATGAGCATGTTAGTAGCATTAAAAAAAGGTTCCTAAAAAAGTAGTTGCACACAATAAAAAATACTCACGGTTTTTACTGAATCATTGCCTCCAGCCATATTTTTGATATCCATTATTGCACTCTGTTGTTTTATCTTCATAAACTCACTGCTGTTTAATTCTTTCTGTAGCATTCTGCTTCCCGAAATTACAAAGCTTTTGTTGCCCTCCTCTCTCCCCTCTTCAAAATCAGGAATCACATTTTCTTTATCTACCCAAGTAGATTCAGAGTTTCTTCTGTCATTTGGAGATGATGACAGCATAAGTACTTTCTGGTCTACACATTCATCACACACGGCCTCTAATCCAGAACATTCAATGGACAGGTTGGATAGTGAGTCCTGCCTCAAGTCACTTTCAAGCTGTTTCAGACTTCTGTTTTCTGACAGAGGAGACACCAGATCGCGGCGTCTTTTTTTCAGTATAGATGGTGCGTCTGTAAAAGTTTTGGCAATACTTTTCTGAACAGCATCTGAACTATCTTCCCTAGATGGTGAGTCCCACCATTTGAATGAATTCAAGGAAGATATCATCAGTTGGCGAATGCCAAGTGGACTGTACCCTTGTTGCATATCACTGCCAGGTTGAACAAGATCACAACTGAAAAATGGAATATCCAAGCTTGGAAAGCATGGGGAGTCATAGAATAAAGCTCCACAATCATTTTGTTCATCTGTTAAAACTGGATCTTTGTCCCTGGAAGAACAGCTTTGAGCATCATTTGAGGCGAAGGCAAAACCATTAATTGGAACTAGCTTCTGTGAACAGTTTGCCTGCTCAGATCCATATTCACAGCAAAAACAACCATCTTCAAGAACAGACTTCTGCTCCGCATTTCCATCCAAGGAATCATTCAACTGATAAGTATCAATACCGTACATGACTAAACCGTCTTCAGGAGGAAGTTCACTTGGAACGGGGAAAAGTTCACTAAATGAGCTTCCCAGCATGTCAGAAATCATAGAACAGCAAGACTGTGAAGCAAAAGGACCATTGTCAGGGATTGCAGAAATTAGAACTTGATCTTTGTCCCTGGAAGAACAGTTTTGAGTATCATTTGATGCTAAGACAAAATCATTAACTGAAAATAGCTTCGGTGAACAGTTTGCCTGCTCAGATCCACGTTCACAAGAAAAACAACCATATTCAGGAACAGACTCCTGCTCTGGATTTCCATGCAAGGAATCACTCAACCAATAAGGATCAATACCGTACATACCTAAACCATCTTCAGGAGGAAGTTCACTTGGAAAGGGGAAAGATTTACTAAATGAGCTTCCCAGCATGTCAGAACTCATAGAACAGCAATAATGTGAAGCAAAAGTTCCATCTTCAGGGATTGTGAAAGTTAGAACTGGATCTTTGTCCCTGGGTAAACAGCTTTGAATATCACTTGATGCTAAGACAAAATCATTAACTGGAACTAGCTTCAATGAACAGTTTGCCTGCTTAGATCCATGTTCATAAAAAAAATCACCATCATCAGGAACAGACTCCTGCTCCACATTACCAAGCAAGGAATCATTCAACTGATAAGGATCAATACCGTACACAGCTAAACCATCTTGAGGAGGAAGTTCACTTGGAACGGGAAAAGGTTTACTAAATGAGATTCCCAGCATGTCTGAACTCTTACAACAGCAAGACTGTGAAGTAAAAGTTCCATTTGCAGGGATTGAGAAAGTTAGGACTCGTCCTTTGTCGCTGGAAGGACAGCTTTGAGAATCATTCGATGTTAAGGAAAAATCATTAATTGGAACTTCCTTCAACGAACAGTTTGCCTGCACAGATCCATGTTCACATGAAAAACAACCATCATCAGGGACAGACGCCTGCTCCGCATTTCCATACAAGGAATCGTTCAGCTGATAAGGATCAATACCTTCCATAACCAAACCATCTTCAGGAGGAAGTTCACTTGGATCGGGGAAAGGTTTACTAAATGAGCTTCCCAGCATGTCAGAACTCGTAGAACAGCAAGACTTTGAAGCAAAGGTTCCCTCTTTAGGGATCATGAAATTTGAAGATTGGTGAAGTAACGAATCTGCAGATCCATCAATGCCACCACCAACATTTTCAGCTGGATAAAATACATCACGTCCCTTTTCTGGGTAAATCACCCTGAAATCTGAATTAATTACAAGATTAGGCATATCGGAACTCATAACCATGTTTCCCATGGCGGTAGAAGCATTCAATTCAATTGAAGCTTCTGGTGGAAAGTCTATATTGTCATGGTGGTTGCTGCCATTTATAGCTTGCATGAGTAGTCCTGATGCTTCTTGCCCTAGATCCAGCAAAGATATGTCCGGTAGCTCATTTGGATTAAGCTGCCAATCTTTCCCTGCAAAAGGCCCCCAATCTAAAGGTAAGTCATGTTCAAGAAACTTTGAAGAGATGCTCATTTCTGAAGGCACTTCCAGCATGGAAAATGTATTGTCTGGCAAAGCAGGGCGAAAATCTTCAGAACGTGTCATTGAACTGGAGCATTGATCTTTTTTATGATTGGATTCTTCACTGACTCCAAAGTTCTTTCTATTACGTATAATTGTATTGATTGGGTCATTTGTAGATTGAGGCAAACTAGCCACAGTTGAATGTGGGCTGCATTCTGAAGCTTCCCCCACTTCTACTCTGTCTTTAATAACAGGATCATCTTCACTGCTCTGTTGTGCTTTTGAAGAAGAGGATGCCACTGATTGATTTCGATAACTAACAATAGGCGGACCTTGGTACTGTGAAAGTAAGCCTGATGATAAATATGTGTCCAGTTTCTTTTTGATAGAACTATTCCAGTGATTTTTTATTGCATTATCAGTCCTGGTATCATATAGACAAATAGTTCAGAACTCAAGGTGGTAAACTTCCGTATTAATGGAACAAACTAGTATAGAAAAGCAACTCAGACTCATAGACTGAATAAATGAGATGGTAAATATATGATATATGGCGGCTGCTCTTATTCTCTAATAGAGTAAAATATTCGTCATGCAACTATTAAGTATCACTTCACCTCCCAGGCAAGAACTTTGTTAACTCTGCCCACTTGTTTCCATAAATTTGATGGGCATGAATCAGAGCCAATTCCTCTTCTTGTGTCCAAGCATCTTTGTTTATGGTAGGATTAAGATGATTGTGCCACCTGTGAAATACATGGCATAAACAAATAAAGCAGATAACGGTGAAAAAAAATCCAGAGCTGTTTAATCACAAGAAATGAAATTTGCACCTTCATTGGTATATAAGAATAAACCAGCCAACACCAGCAGAAGTGCATTTTAAAGAAATTTGAAACATAAATCTTTAAAAACTTCAATAGGAATGAGATACAAGTATCTGGAAAATCATTAGTTGAAGTTATTTAACAGTGGAAAGCTGTAAATAAGCACAAAAAGGTCCACTGAAGAGCTACAAAGACTAAAAGAAGCACCTCCAAGCTTACCTTTCACGACATTGCTTTCCAATGCGTCCAGGAAGATGCTTTGAAATGGTGGACCACTTTTTTGGCCCATATTTGTTCACACAATGGATTATCATTTCATCTTCCTGATCACATATTAAAAGATATATAAGTTGGGTAATCATGTAATACAAAACAGAAAATTAGGATTATTTATGCCAGAATGAAACAAAATTAAATTTAATTGAGAAGAATTCAGAAAGAATAAATAAATAAAATTTTCCTAACCTCTTTAGACCAAGGACCTTTGATAAGTTCTGGATCAAGAACCTTCTGCCATCTGTGTAGGCACTGTACATCTGTTCGATCCTTGAAACAATCCGCTACATATAGCACAATCTTAAATATATTGTATTGTCTATGCTATATAATGTAGGCAATAGGAATTGAAGGTCAGAATTATGCTAATAAAAATTTTATAACGTGTGAAATTGATTGTCATTTTGGTTGAGAAAAACTACTTGACAGTCTAAACCACATTAGAAATATGTGTTGAAGTATATGACAAGGTAACCTAGTAAAGTAAAAGGCCACAACTCATCCTCAGCGGAATAGGCCATTTGCATGATGTGTACATGATAAGGGCTGGGTGTTAATTCTAATTGGGATCATTTAGAAATTTTAATTTTCAATGTATAAAAAAGGAATCTCATAATTCCCCTCGCATATCAAATGTTATTATGGTTTTGTGCACGGAAGAGTATTGATAAACTCAATTTTATGCAAACTACTGGATTCTATTTATCTCCACATTCTTGTCGAGTCATGATGGATCATTTCTATGCAGATATTCTGACTTAAAAAGGCCACAAGAAATTTTACCAGACAAATGCATGGAACTTGCACTTATCTGACGGAATCAATCAGGGATTTACTGAATTATTATATGTAGAAATGATTCTTTCCCTGACATAGTTGGAATTTCCTATAACTTTAAGAAATTCGTGGATTTGGAAAAGGGGGAAGAGACACTTTTTCAATATTCTTTGATTTAATTAATGACATCCCCATGCAATTAATGAGGTTAACATTGTTTGAAAAATTAGCAAGTTTTTATGACCATATACTGTAAAATACTAGTTCCAAACGGCGAACTTGGTCGTAATAATACAAGGAAAACTGTCCGTAAAATTGTTATAAACAAATAATGTAATGAAGTAATGCATCCCTTGCTCAAAATAGTCTTTGCATAGTCTGCCCCAGTTTCTTCATTTAGGTCCATAGTAACTAAAAACTTCAGAATCCAACTGTTGCTCCAACTTCCACCATTAATGTCCAGACTAAATATAAAAAAAGTTTCACGATTCATGCCATGTCTTGTCCTATAGTCACGTGCATTCTAAGGCTGAACATACAACATAGTACCCGATGAGAAGCTTTGGAAATTGAACAAATTTTGCTAGGTTGCTAGTTCAACATGATAACCAAATGATATTTAGAAAATCAATGAACAAAAGTTGCGATATTAGAAATAATAGGTAAATACAAAAGAGCACAGATTAATCAGACGTGTCTTTTTCTTGTTAAACAAGTGGTAAAGGAGAGAAGCTTCATTCTTTTTCCTACCTATCTTTTTCCAGTTTTTTCCTTTGAAACGTTGAACAGCCATGCGCAATATCTCATCCTGCAGAAAAATTAATTCTGTTGGGATCACAAATTAAAAGAAAAGAAAATCAAGTTACAGATTGGTCAAATTGTAGTCATCTAAATGACAAGAAACCTGGAGAGAAGCACCCACCATTTTAATAATTGTATAATAAATGTTTAAATTTGTATGGTTGTCCTCACTTGTCTAAAAGTGGTGGCTGGTTTGGGAATAAATTTATTCTCCACAACTCAAGTTGCTAATACTATTTAAAATTAGAAGAGAATGCCAATTTACCTCTTCTGGAGTCCATTGTCCCTTAGTGGAACGCCTTGTGGGTCCACTTGTTCTCCTATAAAAATAAATAAAAAATAAAAAAATTACAAAAAAGTTGCATAATCTGATCTGTGTGGTAGCAAAAAACTCCACACAGTATGCCGTTTCGGTTATTACTCTATACTTTTGAGTGGTTGGGAAAAGCAAAGCAAAGTAGACGTCTTCCAGAATACTTTTCCAAAAACTGAGGACCATTAAGTGTAAAACAGTGAATTTAACATCACGGGGATCATGTGTTCGAAGAATCAACAAATCATGCCTACCTCACCTCCTCTTTGATAATCATGCAAAACTCATATGAATCAAGAAACGATTTTTTATGTACCATATATTAGCACTCAATATGCCAAGCAAATGGACCTTGTTTATCACCAAGTTGTGACATAATATAGCAAAAGTAGATAACCTGAGGAAACAAAATGAATACTTAAACGACCTGCAAAATAATCATCTCTTGTGATCTCAGAAAGTTACCCGTGCAAAGACTGAACTCCTTGTAAACAATCTCTGGAGCCATCTGAAGGAGTGGTGCTTGCTGTATCACTTTCCATATTTGTGTGACAGACAGGCTCCAGATTTTCCTCCCCAAATCATTATATGCTTCCCTAGAATGAGTTAGGCACTAACCTATTCCAGAATGAAGTCAAAGGTTAAGAGTGAAGAAGGTTAGACATGAGAAAAATGTCAGGACGTAAACAATCAATGCAACTATGCTTGAGATGTAAAAAATTAATAGATATTCTGAAATCATCAACTTTATCCATTGTACAATCACAGCATATTATTTCAGGGAAACCAAAATTTGGGAAGCACTTGAATATTTAAGGAAACCTTGGATCTGTAAGAAATTTTCCTTAAAATGTGAAACCAATTTTTCATTGAACAGACCTGCCAAGCTTTAAAATTTTTATTTCTTTCTCAGTGTCCTTCAATTAAAGTTTTAAGCAATGTGATGCATGGCAACTAACATTTAATAAACCCATGACCGCGCGTGAAAATGAAAAACTCAAATTTTAAATATCACAAAATGACTTCTAGGATGGTGGCCTACACAACTCATTATAAAATTTTTAACACAATTTGACACATGACAACTAACATTTAGAAAACCCGTGACTACGCAGGGGAATGACAAAAGGACCTTGCTGCTTCAATAAGGCCACATGTGCCCTCTTCAAATTGGCCCTGTTCAAGCAGTATAATCCATGACAAAAACTCAAATTTTAAATACCACGGATGGACTTCTAGGATTGATGCGCTCCACAACTCATTATAAAATTCTTAAGACAATGTGACGTGTGGCAACTAACATATATCCACGATTGCATGGGGAAATGAAAAAATTCGTATTTTAAATACCAAATTTAATAAAATTTTAAATTCTAAACATGATATATTAGAATGCATTTTTGACCAAGAAAAACAAACTAAATCTGCGGTGGACCCCAACATATTCAAAAATTCTTGATCCATGGGGCACGTCCAGAGTTTGGTCACACAAAGTTTCTCAATACAACAAATTGAAAATGTGCTTTGGAAGTACTAAATGCTAATAATAAATTCGTAAACAAATATCAATCATTCCTACTCGCATTTTACTGTCAACTAAGCTTGCAGAAAACTAAAAGAAAAAAATTTAAATCAATTGCTTTTCAAACTTCAATGATGACTTCTTGAGCTTACACAATTTTTATGCTCAAAGTAAAAAGTAGACAAGTCCGCGGCGACACGAATTCAAGTAAAAATAGACAACATCCCTGAAACGTTGAATTTGAGATCAATTATCAAAATGATAGAAGTCAAATCTTGCGGAGGGAAAAATACAAATCTATTGACTGGAAAAAAAAATAAAGTGAAATAATTCTGATAGATGCAAAAGCTAGAAAATCCAGAACTTGGAAATTTCAATAAAAAATATAATAGAAGTGACCATTAATTTAAATCTTAAGACATCAAATTCTACACTTCTAAACAAAAAATTCCTAACTTTGAGGGTTGTGATCACAAAATTCCTTAATAGCTCGACCATAAAGTTCATCATGAACATATAGATTAAAACGATTTTAAAACTTAGAAAAATAGTCAAGCTTTTGACTGAGATAGAAAATTAAGGGCTGTAATTTTCTATCAAGATATAATGGACGCAACCACAAATTTAATCTCAAAATCTCTAACTTTGTATAAAAAATTCATCTCGACTAGGGTTCTAATCACGAAATTCTTATATATGTCATACTCCAACATGAAAAAATAATAATAATGAATATCGAAACATTTAATTTAACTTAATTTAAGCAGAAAGATCAAACTTACAGCAACGAGCTTCACAAATTCAATTGAATCAATTCAGCGCGCAACACAGCGTATATATTTATTTTTATAAATATATCTCAGAACGAGCAAACAATCTGCTACAGGGTGAATTTGAGAGCGAGGAGTAATTTGTGATTGTGTTTGGGGAGAGGAAAAAACGGTCCTTAATTCAAATAAAAGATGCCCCTAATACTATTATTGGGTTCAAGCCTTCCAGGTTGCTGTCGCCCATGGACGGATGGGATCTATTGCTCGTTTGAATATCTGCCGTCTATTTTTGTGACATTTTTCAAACTTAATAAAGTCCAACGGGAAGTTTCTTTTACCGGCGACCGGCTCTCAGTGGTAATTACGTTTTTATGGGGAAAAATGGGTTTGAGTTGTCAAATAAAAAACAATTTGTTGTGCACAATAGAAGAAAAGAATAAAGTGGAGAAATCAATAAATTTGTATATATTTTATTGAAAGCACAAGAGAAAAAAAGAATAAAGTAGAGAAATCTATAAATTTGTATATATTTTATTGAAAATCAAAATTACATATTTATATAGAGAATAATTAGGGTTGCAAGGGATATATCGGTAATAATTAGTAGTATAATTGTCATTCATTAATAAACATATTATTTACAATACTTCCCCCTTGAACGATAAGATACAAAATATATGTCTCATTAAACATTGTCAAGAAAATTTTCAATGTAATAAAATTTGATCAAAGGAAAAAAAGTATAGTTGCTATCCCTATTTCAATTCTTGTATTATTTTATTTTCATGTACGTCGATGTCTTCAATATTGCAATTCTAGTGAAGCATGTTTTTGTGTTATCTTGATATAACTTTCAAATAACACCGTCTTCATATGATATATTTACTAACCTCTAGTTATTGTGGTAATATGATGATTCAAAAAATAGCTCTTGTTGATCTCTTCAAGAGTCTCATGCAAATAAGATTATTATTTTGAAAACAAATATCTTGTATGTTATGAAAATTTGTTACACAAAGAATATGTCTCTATTAAAGCATTATTGGAAAAAAATCCTAATAAAAGAGAAAGAGTATATTATTATTTTGAATACTAATAAAAGTTGTATAATTAAAAATCTTATCAAAAAAATCCAATGAGACAAAACTTTGGTCAAGGAAAAATGAGCACAACACTTATTTACTCACACTCTTGATAAATCACTTGAATTATACGCTTCAGTCATAAAATCCTTAAAAGTTAGTTTTAAAATCATATAAGATAAGTTGCATATAATCACATTTATTTCATGCATTATCGTCCAACAAGATAGAAACTTATGTTTGCATTCACCATAGGATATTTATCTATTTATACAAGTTTTTGCAAAACTCATTACGGTAAGAACAATATATTACTTATTACGACTTTATTTTTTCTATTTTTATCTTGCATAAGTATGTACATTTAGGTGTTTGGAATGTAAATTCAAAAACTTTAGGTTGCTCGAGCAGATTCTGTTTGCTATGATTGCATCCGTTTATTTGACTAATTATATTTTTGATCGATATGCTTCAATAAATTTATTTCAATATCCTCGCTATTTATAGCCCCTATTTGATACCAATTGAAATCCAAATTTTAATTTAAATCAAACTCAACAAATCATTTCAGCCACATGTTTTATGGGTTCAACAACTTTTGAACCGTACATTTTATCAACTATTATCGAAATTTACTAAAAATTTTATTTTAATCCCCACCAAAATGGGGCATAATATGAAACGGTACATTTGTATAAAAATATTGTCGAAAACTTTTTTCTTTTCGATTCTATTTTTTCTCATAACGTCACAACTTATTGAAATATTTTAATTTTCAATATTTCAAGGACATGAGCATTTTCTAAAATTTTAAGTTTTGTTATGTTTATGTACTTTGCAAAAGTATGTGCCTTCTAAATGGAATCATATTCCTTTCATGTTCCATCTCTCTTTTGAAGATTTTTGTCTTATAATCCAATGTATTTATATTTTATACGATAGGCGTGCCAAAGATATATCAAATATAAGTCATCCCAAGACGTCAAATCGAGTTAGAGCATTTAGAGCTGGTGTGATCTCTTGCTAATCTTTTTTATTAGTATATGCATCTAAATGGATTATTTTTCAAAATTTTGGTTCAAATTATCTTTTACGAGGATTTAGATGATGATATTTTTGTACATTATTTTCAGTTTCTTAATTTTTACCCTTTAATACTGAGAAATTTGTCCAATCAAATTACAATTAGCAAATCGTTTGCCACAAAAGTTCAAATTACTCATTTATTCTTAGCATTCTTAACTTTCAATCTCAGTTCTTAACTTTCAATCTCAGTACATTGAAGTGGATCAATTTCATATACATTGCACTACTAAAATAATTAAACAAAACTAGTCTCTGCGATAAGTCAAGTTATAGTACATAGAACTATGATATTGGTACGATGCACAATAGCATTCCCTAAATGAAAATGAAAATATTTTGTTTTTAATAGTAATAATTAAGAAAATAATTGGAAGCGTTTAACAAGCAAATATCGTTAAACCATTTATCAATATCCTAACCAAGGACGGAGCCCAAAGAAGTCCAGTGCAGGCATGAACTTTTGGGCCCATCTCCAAAGGCTTTTTTTTTTTTTTTTTAATTATGCTAATCCCCTGAGCAAAGCCCAGGAGTTCTCCTCCGTTGTCCAAAATGAGAAAAGCAGAGGAGAAACGCAACGACTTGGAGGGAGTGAAAGCGGTGAGCAAGGGTCCAACCATTGAGAAGGGGGTCAGCCTCAGATGAAATGAGGAGTTGGTTGACCAAGGCAATGAAGAGACAGAGGATAATCAAATAGAGATGGAGATACTTAAACAATCGATTTGACGAAGAAGAGAAAGGGAAAGGATGAGAAAGTTTAGTGATTTAATCGTGTGGGGACTTGAGATGGTTTTTGGTGGTGCAAATGAGATGGTAGAGCCCCAGTGATACCAGTGCTGATTGCTAAAGCGAAGAAGATGTCAAGAGAATATGTGGTAAATTAGGGTTGCTATTTCTAAACTCAAATCTCTATTTGTCTATTTCCTTGAAATTGTTTCACCACTAAGATCGACTACTACCATATTTTGGCTTATTAAAAGATCAATCATTTGCTGTAGCCGCCTGAATGGAAGCCTGTTTATTCTTGGTTGGAATCATTTGACACAATTGAGGTAATTAATTCCAATGATGTGTTTGCTTAATTGTATGTATGAGTGCATCTTTTTTTTTTTTTTTCAATTAAAATGTAAAATGAATGGTCGTTTTATTTATTTGTTATTGGTTAAAGGTCTGTACCATTTTGAATTTTGAATATGGGTTGGAATGGCTCAATTGGGCATTTTTTATGGCAATGTCAAGAAGATGCCATGGAAAATATAAGATGGCATTTCTCAACAATTTCTAGACCTTTGTTGAGGCATTTATTCATTCATAGTTTCAACTACATAGACTTGTTTTACGGTTTGAATTTCAAGCATATTGATTTGAGCAGTTCCTATACGACCTATTGCTTTTTTTTTTGCATCAATAAAATTTTGCCTTCACTAAACTAATTTCCTGGCTCCGCTCTTGATCCTAACTAATATTTATTTAAAAGTTAGGATTTGGACTCACCAGCATTAACAAGACACATTGTATTGATTGTATAATCTAAAAATTATGATCATAATTTAACTTTTAAACAATTATATCGTAAACTTCAGGTTGCGAACATCATGTAATCATTTAGTAGATGTATCAAATCTATTAAATATAAATAATATTTGGATGGTCAACATAGAGGTGACGACCCTTATATATCACCTTAATTATTTTTTAAGAATATAGAGAAATCAATCCATTTTTTAGCTAGTGATAACCTATTTTTAATAAAGATAACAAATATTGATATATAGAAATTCATTGGACTGAAGAATTTTCTAATTTTTCATTGAATGTTTGAATTTTCAATTTCGCATCATTTATTGATCCAGTGATGATCCAACTAATTGTGCCAAATAATAATATATTCAATAATTGAACTTCTGGTTAAATACAAAATTTGTCATTTGAATAACTATTTAATTAAACAAAAGACTTAGTTAATTTTCGTAAATATGATTAATCATGATATAATCATATAAGAGTTAATGTCTACATGACGTGAGTTGTATCTTCTTTTAAGGATAAACAATAATTTAAAATAATATATATTTCGAAACATTTGTTACTTGGAGAGCACTTTGTATTTACTATAGCTATATCAAGAGCAACATATCAATATTCTTTTGAAAAATTAGAATTTTAACGTAATACCCTCCGGGAGCAAGAAAATATTATTATTTAAAATATAAATTATGCAAAGATTTACTCTTCAAGAACAAAAACATAATTTATATTAGATATTATAATATTATGCTCTTCAAGAACAAATAACTTTCTAATAGCATACTGATTTGAATAAATTGTGTTTTCCAAGAGCAACAATATAAGTTATGCACC